GCCGGTGGTGGTCAGAGGGACCGGTGGCGCCTGTGCTCGGCAGCATCACCTCTGTCAGTGCGCCCCAGGGCAGCTGTGGCTACCTCATAAGCTCATCACCATCAGTGTGTGAATGGATGAATGATACACTGTAGTGTAAAGCGCTTTGGAGTCCTTACTCTGAGAGGCGCTATACAAGTGCGGGTCATTTATCGTTTATAATAAGTTTAGCACCTATAATATATTATATTATTATAAAATAAGTTTAGCATCGGGCTGCGCTGTGGCGCAGTGGTTAGAGCTGTTGCCTTGCAGCAAGAAGGTCCTGGGTTCGCTTCCTGGCCTGGGATCTTTCTGCATGGAGTTTGCATGTTCTCCCTGTGCATGCGTGGGTTCTCTCTGGGTACTCCGGCTTCCTCCCACAGTCCAAAAACATGACTGTTAGGACAAATGGTCTGTCTAAATTGTCCTTAGGTGTGAGTGTGCAAGATTGTTTGTCCTGTGTCTCTGTGTTGCCCTACGATGGACTGGTACTTTGTCCAGGGTGTACCCTGCCTGATTGCCCATTGACCGCTGGAGATAGGCACCAGCCCCCCCACGACCCTACATGGACAAGTGGGTTCAGACAATGGATGGATGGATGGAAGTTTAGCACCTATGATAAATTATATTATTATATAATAAGTATAGCAGCTATAATATATTATATTATTATATGATAAGTATAGCAGCTATAATATATTATATTATTATATAATAAGTATAGCAGTTATAATATATTATATTATATGATAAGTATAGCAGCTATAATATATTGTATTATATGATAAGTATAGCAGCTATAATATATTATATTATGTAACGGAATTGAAGTGATGAAACTATCTAGAGTTGTATTTTAATACACTGTAAGTAGATCACTTTTTATAAACAGAAGAATAGGCTGTTTTTATCATCAGGGAGTTTAATTAAACACTCTGTATTGACTTTGAGACAAGGAAAGAGAGAGAGATGGGATCGTTTGAGAATCTTTAATTTCTTGATTATAAATTCTAAACAATCTACCAGGACTAACTCTGTGATGGATGAAAATGGATTTGGATGTTGTGTTGGTGCGTGTGTGTGTGTGTGTGGTTGGTTCAGACTCTTTAGGCTGACGTCATTGAATCTGGTAGTCTTTGTTATGACTAGATATCACGAAGCTTATAAAGTGATGACATGAGCCGCTATTTTGCCGTGTACGTACCCAGTGGGGGGCCTCCCAGGTAGATCAGGAAATGCCAGGTCCAAGAACCTCGAATGTACGCTGGAGCTGTCGGTGCAGCGGTCGCAACGTTTCAAAGCCCGTCTGAAGGGTCGACCCCGGTACTAATCGGCGGCGTCAGCAGGTGCTCTTATTTTGAAAGGATGTCGTCTGGTTGTTAAACGACGAAAATCTCCAGCTTCACAGTTCTTAGTTTAAAGAATAAAACACATCTGGCCAGTCTGTGCTTTTCTTGGCGGGGGCTTGGGTAGAAATTATGACACGTCTCTAAATAAAGTAAAAATTTCTAGTGCAGAGTGGAGACAACCCACAGAAGCACTGATTTGATCTCATTTCAGAGAAAAATAGAACAGGTCAGATGCACCTAATAAATAAAATTACTAACAAACTCAGGAATCTGTTTCTTTGCTTCACTGTTCTGGTGCTGAGGGTATCACTAATGCGGATCAAAGGAGATACACAGATGAATGCACCTCTTATTTATTATTTGGAGACTACATTTACTGCAGCTGGCAGAGGCAGAGATTTTTTCTATTGATACACGGAATTTACAGAATCATTTTAAATGTTAATAGGGGAAGACTGCAGGAGGGAGCGGTAAAATACAGGGGGTCCCCAGCAAAAACAAGAAACTTTACGAGTCTCATGAAACCCGCTGGTTTTCCATCAGGCAGTCACGGGGCAGCTCCAACGACCCAGTGGCTGTGCTGGGTCAATGTTATCGAGCTCAGTCCGGCTCGGCAGAGGGTGAACGAGCCGAGGCGACGTCGTGCTCTGCTGAAGAAGATGTGTTATTTTCCCGCTTCAGAAGAAGCGTCCAACATGTTTTCACGCTTTCTCCAAGACATGTCACGTCGCTAAGTTATTAGCGCCGTGCGCTAACACGTCAATAGTGCAACGTAGCCTGCTGGAGGTTTGAAGGGTTCAGATGAAAACACCTGACCTCTCAGGCTGCTCACACACCGATCTTAAGTTGTCGCTGTTGCGCTCACGCCGTAATACAGTATTAGATGCGGTTAAAGTCAGACATGAAAAAAAAATAAATTTTACATGAATAAGTGATGCTTAGCCTGGTGGGGGGAGGAAAACCTGGCCTAATAAGCACTGGAGGAAACCCTGTCAAGATCGTCAACTCTCGTTTATCTTAATGCTATTGAAACATGTTAACCAAAAGTCATTATATCCACTGCTACCTTTCTAATTTTAAACTCAGTAACTTATGCTGTAACTTCACCCTGCCCTGCCTGCTCCTCCTTGCTGCCCGCCGGCTGTGATCACAAGCGACAACACAGTAGTTCCAGCCATTGGCGGTTTTAAACAGGGGCCCACAGGGGCCTGGGCCCCTATAGAACCGGCCCTGGCCCCTGTTATGGCCCCTGTGCTGAAGAGATCGGATATTTTTTTCCCGCGCTGCCTCGGAGACGGGAACTAATGCGCTGCAGCGTTTCACACTGAGCCTTTAGAGCGCAGTACACTCTGTGGACAGAACTGTTTACCCGGTGGATTTTTGAATAAAAGATTAAAAATAGTTTAAATGGGACCCGAAGAAATTCTTGAGCACGACTAACGGAAAAGATGCTAAGAGACGAAGGTAAGCAATACAGTTTATTTTCCTGACATCAGTGTTTTGATCGTGGTCGCGCGTTTCTGTCATTTACTTTTAAGTTCCTAACTGAGTCTATCCACAGTTAATACTGATTTGTTTTTCCTTTGTAACATTAACTGTAAAATAAACATGAAGTTGCTGCATTTTAAGCCTTAGACATGTTGAGATTAGATCACAGTATTCATTTATCTATGACTTTGTCGCAGCACTGACTGGAAGCATCAGCGGCCATGAAAAGAAAAAGGGACATTTTGTCCTTTTTTACCGCTGTTAATAAAGAACAGCGTAGACAGAGAGAGGATGAAAGTCACGAGGGAGCTGAGAAGCAGGATGAAAGAGAGAAGGAGGAGTTGGTTGGAGAGGAACCAGAGAGGTCAGAGGCTGTCCACCCTGAGAGTGAGGAGGAAGATGTAGGCTGTGAGGGAGAGAGTGAGGAGCAAAAAGAGGGACATCTTCAGTCATGTGCATCGTGTACACTACCGTCAGGTTTGTGGGTGTTGAACAACCCCCTCTGTGACTGCAGCTCATATTGTGTGTAAAATGCATTTGAGGCATGCTGACTCTGGACCCAAATTTATGTTGTTTATATTTAATAAATTGATAAAATAAGACTCTGAATTAACTAATTATGACTTTTATCCTCATGCTAACATTTATTTTCTTTCAGATATCAGCAAGTGCAAGGATGACCCACCTACTCAGCATCATTTGAGGACATTTCCAGTGACATTAATAGGAGACAGAAGATGCAGCTTTCAGCCAAGCTGGTATGAAAGTAATCCTTGGGTTGAATATTCTGTTACTATGGACTCTACTTATTGTCATGCATGCAAACATTTTAGCCCACCAAGTAGCGCAGGAAGTGTGTTTGACTCACCGTGTGGATTTAGGAACTGGAAAAAAGCAACTTTAGAGAGGAAGGTTTTTTTTGGTACATGCAAAGTCTGAAAGGCAAAAATTGAAATTGTCTCAAATTGTATTGTGCACATATTTAATTTGTTTGAATGTTTATTTTTCATATGTACAGTACATGTAGTCTTCAAATAAAGTCACAAACTATAATAATCAACTAGAATTATTTTTTTACTCACGTCTCATGTTGTGGTGAAGCATTCAGAATTGTTATCTGAGTACCATAAAAACATGCCAGTTTTACTTTCACAAGTAAACCATTACCGCATTTGCTGTAATAGTTTACTTGTTCATTGTCTTTACTTATGAATTTATTTGAATCTTATTTTAGTAAAATACAGCTGTAAAAGATCATAGATGAAAAAAGTAAAGGAAAATTTTTGATAAATTTGATCCCCAAAATATAGTAAAGATAGATATGAAAAAGAAGAGAACAAAAAAGTGAGCAGTTTCACAGTACTAGGAATTTCCTTTGGTAAAATTGTGCACAAGCACAAAATTAGTCATATGGCGGAGACAAAAAAGAATTTTGATATTGCCCTAATTTTTCCCTTTTTTTGTCTTGCACCCCCGTGAAAAAATACTGGCCACACTGTGGCCCCCCTGGAAAATTTGGTCTAGAACCGCCCCTGGACTTCCCGCTGCTTCTTCGGGAAACAGCGCCAAAAAAAAAAAAAAAAAACTTGGGATCTTGTAGGCGTGGTGGTGGGACTTCAGCCGTGGCGGGCAGCCACAGCTACGCCTGTGTAAGGGAAACCCTGCAATTCAATGTTACATTTGATTAATACAATCTTCATCACAGCAATATTTCTAACTCTTCATTAACATAAATCTTCTCAACAGCTTCTTCAGTTAACATAAATCAAACAGCGTAGCTCCAGCCACTGAGATGAGAGCAGCTTATTCTGCTATAAATGGAACTCAAAAGTATTCAAAATTCAACGAATAAATAAGACATTATGAAATAAATATCTACATGAAGAAATACTAGGCAGTCATGTAATTTGACAATGACATTATGAAATAACAGAATTTTATGTAAATTCTAAGATCAATATTGTGAAATATTTTTCATTATTTTCTTCAGGTACAAAATATATATTTCATAATGTCTTATTTATTTATTGAATTTTGAATACTTTTGAGTTCCACATGCGAGGAGCTGGTGGTCCTCATTATGCAAACAACCTTCCTGCTGGTGAATATAAACACGGTGCAAAGAGAAGCTCAGTCAGATCCTCTTCATCATCATCTTCATCATGTTCTCTGTAGCTCTGCTGCTGGTGGCTGCTGCATCCTGTGAGTCTCCCTGAGACAGAATCAGTCGGGTTAAACTACACTGGCTGTTTATTTTAATGACTGATTCTTAATCTGATCCTCCTCAGGTGTGAAGTGTGAACAGCTGACTCAGCCAGCCTCTGTGACTGTGCAGCCAGGTCAGCGTCTGACCATCAGCTGTCAGGTCTCTTATTCTCTCACCAGCTCCAGGACACACTGGATCAGACAGCCTGCAGGAAAAACACTGGAATATATCTGTAGTGCACATATTGGATATGCCACATACTTCAAAGATTCTCTCAAAAATAAGTTCAGCATTAATTTAGACTCTTCCAGTAAAAGTCACGTGGGGTCCGGAGCTCTATACGTGTCCATGGACCCCAGATTTCATTTAAAAGCTGGTCTTAGAGCTCTCACTCTGGTGGTTTTATGTAACAGCTGTTCAGACTGGGGGGTTTTTGTTCAGCTGTTCTGATGTTTGTGTCACTGTGGCTCTCTGGCACAGTAATACACAGCAGAGTCTTCAGGCTGCAAGTTCTGTCCGTTCAGAGTCACTCTCTCAGTTAGAAGATGCCATATTGGCAGGTAAAAGAAGCTAAACAAACACAGATCTTAACCATGAACGTGAACGGGATCGGCTTGGATTTTACTTCGTCGGAGTTTATTTCACACTTTAAAACCGAAGAAATCGTTTTATATAGTCAGAAATTAAATAGACTAAACATCTCCGACCCTTACCGTGCCCCTGGGATACTTTTTAAAAACGCCAGAAGCTGTCGGAGCGGACTTCTTACTGGACCTGGCCGGGGAACCCCTTGGGATTTACCCGGAGGAGCTGGCTCAGGCGGCTGGGGAGAGGGAAGTCTGGGACTCTCGACGCTACTGCCCCCGCAACCCGACTCCGGATAAGCGGATGAAAATGGATGGATGGACAAATAACAGATGTACACGTAAGTAGTTTAAATAGAGTGCTGTGCTTTTTGAATGTATAAACTGAACACCAAGAGAAATCACTAGTTTGATTTGTTTCCGTGAATAAAATAAATATGTCAGGCTGGAGCGTCTCAGGATCTGTCTGAGATTTGTCTCGGTGAGACAGATAATGGCAATCCAAAGTGCTTTTTATGTGTGTGATCTGACAATTGATCAACCATTGCTTAAAAATTAAATACAGCTTAGCCGGTTAATTGCTGTGATCATAAAACACGTAAACGGCAGCACGCCGAAATCACGAGGCAACGTTTTACGTGATGTTTACTTGTTGCTATGAGTAATAAGACAGAAAAAGCCACGTCAAAATAAGTTTAGGAAGCCCACTAAGAATCGTAATAAAAGCATTTAAAATAAATACCACACACAGTTGAGGAAACGTTGGTTTAAGCACCTGATATGAAGTGGTCGCTGCATAAGCGAAAACCTTTACTCTCGGTGTTGACGCAGCCATTTGAAGACAGGAGAACCGACGGACAGCTAATCTTGACAGAGGAATGAACAAACACTCCACAGGCACCATTCAGTGGGGAACGGTCGCAACCGTAGCAGCACCACGCCCTTTTATTAACACATGCACATTAATCACAGCTGTAAGAGCACAACCAATCAACATAATTTAACACCCCCACTTGCTCTTATACAGTGAACTCCTTCTCCACTATGACAATTGACATTCACATTCCAAACAAATATTTCCCGAACCTATCCATCTTGGTCTTTGTTACAGGCTTTGTTAAAACATCTGCAACCATGTCTGTTGTTGGACAATATGCAATGGTTATCTTTCCATCATTCAGCATAGATCTAATAAAGTGGTACTTTATGTCTATGTGTTTACTTCTCTGTCAACAGACTGGATTCTTAGACAAAGCAATAGCACCTTGGTTATCTCCAAAGATTTTTACAGGCACATAACACTCATCAGTCAACCCTTTTAGCAGTTGTAAAAGATATAAACTCTCCTGTACTGTGGCAACTAGAGCTATATATTCTGCTTCACATGTTGATAATGCAACACTTTGCTGTTTCTTGGTCCTCCATGAGATAGAGCCACTTTTGTTTAAGCTAAAACAATAACCTGTAGTGCTGCATCTGTCGGTGCGATCTGAAGCCCAATCTGCATCACTATAAGCTTCAAGTTCAAGCTTTTCTTCACTTTTTGTATAGCACAGCTCTTGATTTATTGTCCCTTTTAGGTATCTTAACACATGTTTTGCAGCTGTTAAGTGTTGCTCTTTGGGTTTAGACAGATACTGGGAAAGTTTACCAACAATCCAACATATGTCAGGCCTTGTACGAGTCATTACGTAGATCAAACTGCCGACCATTTCACGATACCTTCTTGCATCAACGGCGTCACCTTCATCATCTAAATGCATCTTTTGTTCACACAAAGTAGATCTTGCTTTACAGTCAGACATGCCAAATCTTTCCAATATTTTGTTATGAATCTCGTTTGGTTCATCTTTATCTCTCCTTTCTGTGTAAAACCAACACCCAAGAACGTTTTTAAATGACCAAGATCTTTCATCTCAAACATTTTTGTTAACATGTCTTTCACTTCTTCAAGTGACTTTGTATCCTTTGATGCAATAAGGAGATCATCAACCCAGATTAACAGATGAATTTGTCCATATTTTGTTTGTTTACGGTAGACACAATGATCTGCTTCATTCTGTATAAAACCGTTTTTACAAAGACAATCATGCAGCATTTTGTTCCAGTTCCGCCCAGACTGCTTTAGACCATATAAGGACTTTTTCAACCGACACACAAGCTTTTTACCCGTGTCAGACTTGATTTCAAAGCCTTCAGGTTGCTCAATGTACATTTCACAGTCAATGGGAGCGTTCAGATACGCCGTTTTTACATCCATCTGATGCAACTGTAAGTCATTCTGTGCAGCAAGCTGCATTAATGTGCGTACAGAAGTCATATCGGCTGTTGGAGAAAATGTTTCTTTGTAATCTTTTCCTGCTTTTTGACTATATCCTTTCGCTACATATCTGGCCTTATATGTCTCTGTTGAATCAGCATTTTCTTTGATAGCATAAACCCATCTGCCCCCCACTATGGATTTACCTTCTGGTAGTGTAGTTAAAGTGAACGTGTTGTTTTCTTCTAAGGACTTCACTTCTTCTTGCATTGCACGTACCCACATTTCAGACTTTGATGAGGCTATAGCCTCCTTGTATGTGTGTGAGATATTGGTTAGCATCTTGTAACAATAATCAACATCAATTGATTCCTCGTCTTCCTCCACTCTATATTCATAATCATTCAGGTACTCTGGACGTTTCCTCTCCCTCTTAGGATAACGTCTACTGTGACTTTCTTCGATTTGAATGTTGTTTTCTGGTTCCGAGGCCTCAATCTCTGTCTCAGGTTTCACTTCAGGGTCTTGTTTAGTCATTGACTCTTTAGATACGGAAGGGATAAGCCTCTCCCCAAATACATCGTCATCGGTTAAAATCTCATCGGTCTGCATTGAATGTTCAACCACAGTCTTGGTTACAAACTTCACTAACCTGTGCTTCAGTACCTTTCCTGTTTCTGGGTAGTAAACCAAATATGCTGGGCTATTTCTATCATAGCCAACAAAGATTCCAGTTTCACTTCTGGAGTCCAACTTTTTCTTATCATGCTTGTATGCATGGCAAACTGATCCAAAGGTTCTCATTTTTGACAGGTCAGGTTGTCTTCCTGTTAGCACGTAGTATGGGGTTTGGCCTAGACGCTTGTTAAAGCATCTGTTCCGGATAACTGCAGCTGTCATCACAGCATATGTCCACAGCTGTTTTGGCAGGTTACTCTGTTGCAGCACGCATCTCCCCATATCAAATAAAGTTCTCCAACTCCTCTCAGCCGTCCCATTTTGATGGGGTGAATGTGGTGCTGAGGTTTCTTGTTTTATTGCATGTTTGCCAAGCAATGACTGAAACTCATTGGAAGTGAATTCTGTTCCATTGTCTGACCTCAACCGTTTTATTTTCCCATAAGGAGCAGTGTCCGCAATAAACTTTTCTGTTGCTTTAACAGTACCATTCTTTGCTTTGAGGAAATAAACATTGCGCCTGAATAATCACCTGTAAACGCTAACGCATATCTGAAACCATCTTTGGCCTCTGGGCTTATAGGGCCAGCTAGGTCTGTGTGCACCAACTCCAGTGCTTCTTTAGCTCTCACATCAGGCTCTCTGCTTCTAGTTTGAACAAACTTTCCCTGTATGCAGGTTTCACAGCTTAGATTAGATTGATCAGTTTTACCTTTGATTTTCATTCCTTTGGTTACATTCTCCAACTTTGACACGTCATCATAATTGCATTGACCAAGTATCTCATGCCATGTTTGAATATCATAACATCCATAACATTCTTCATTATAGTCATTCTCGCTATTTATAGTGTTCAGATAGTACAGTCTCCCGTATTCTTTAATATCAAACCTGGTGCCGTCTTTGTGGATCAGCTGGTTGCTTCCCTCCTTGAAGTGGATCTCAGCTCCATTGGTGGTTGCAGCTTTGACCGAAAAAATGTCCTGCGGGAACGTGGGGATGTAGAGCGCCCTCTGCAGTGTCGCCATCACAGGACGTCCCTTGCTGTCCCTCAGGCAGACCACGGCCTCGCCTCGTTTGTGTGCGACGCCACTCGTTCGCTTCCCATCAGCCAGCTCCATGAAATGCTTCTCCGGGAGGAAGGTGTCATCAAAGCTTCTAAACTTCTTGATATCGGTGATGATGTGGGAAGTAGCTCCTGTGTCAACCATCAGACCTCTTTCTTTCACTCCGTTCGTGACGCTGTCGCTGATCTTGAAGGCAAATGTGTGACATTCTTCATCAGCTGCGTGTTTTGCGTCATCTCTCCTTTTCGTCTGCAGTTCGAGTCTCTGTGAGTGGGGCTCCGGCAAAATGTACACCACTGTTTCTGCTGGCCGCATTCTCGTGCTTTATGCCCCGTCTGGCCGCAGGTGTAGCATCTTAACTGAGTAAAATCTCTTTTCCTCCTCATCCTCATACTAGAATCTCCAGCTCTCATAACAGCATCATCGTTGCAGGAGGAATTCAATTTTTCAGTGCTCTCATAACTTCTTAACTTTGTTTTAAATGCACTGAATGTTATCTCGTCATCACTTTGTGTTATATGAATGGCAAATGGCTTAAATGCTTCTGGTAACCCTTTCAGAACCATTGCAATCAGCAGCCCGTCGCTTAACGTCTCTCCTGCATTTCTTAGTGCTGTTATTGCAGTATCTGCGTGGATGATATAATCAGTGACAGTCTCATTATTTGCTTTCCTCAGTGACGTCAGCTCAGTATACAAACTGATCACTTGGGGGTTTCCTTTGTTCTCATAATAATCACGCAGTATCTGCAGGGCTTTCCTTCCATCATCTGGGTCATCTCTCATTATGAGGGAAAGACTCTTATCATCCAAAAACTGGATTAATTCCGTGTATGCTTCCTCATTCTTTGAGGCGTCGTCGTCATCATCATCATCTCCACCCTCGCCACCTGAGCGTAGGATTGTTTCCTTAAGTCCCAGCAGCCGCAGGTGACCCAAAAACTTTGTCTCCCACAACTCATAATTTTTCTCATCTCCGTCGAAACACAATCGTTGCCATCGGTTTCCACTTTCCTTTCTGGGCCCATAACCTGTTGACGCAGCCATTTGAAGACAGGAGAACCGATGGACAGCTACCCTTGACAGAGGAATGAACAAACACCATGCAGGCACCATTCAGTGGGGACCGGTCGCAACCGTAGCAGCACCACGCCCTTTTATTAACACATGCACATTAATCACAGCTGTACGAGCACAACCAATCAATATAATTTAACACTCGGGATCCCACAGTTTCATTTTAGCTCGGTCACAATGATCCAACGTTTGCGGCGCTCTGGATCTTGGGGAATCCTGTAGATGGCTCATTCCTTATGTCGTCCGTGTCTGTTCTGCATCCTGGGGCACAACAGGAATCTACCATATTTCCTGTTCGATTGAGTTTTCTGACAATAACAAATAGTCTAGCTGCCAGCTTCTACCTGCCAATATGGCGCCGTTTCGATTTGAACTGTTGCATGCCGGGAGAAGTGACGTCAACTCCCGGAGCTCTATACGCGTCTTTTGAACAGGTCTTATTTGGGACGTTGTAGCAGCAAGACTCCGCCTCTCTGAGTTTCGGTTTCAATTCAGCTTTAAAAAGGAGATTATAAACTACACCCCAGTTTTTAAATAGTGCTAATAGGCAACGTAAAAGCGGAGTTATACTAAACTAAAAAACGACCTATTTTTAGACACTCTGATAACTTGTCAAAACAGCAGTTTAGTAATCTGTGAGAGGGAATGTGCTTGTGAACATAAAAAACCCACAAAAACATGAGATCCTTTTGCTGTTGGTGGAAGTCTCACATATTCAATTGATAAAAAGCATCATTATGTAGCTGAGAGAGAGAGGAAGGCTGCACGGGTAACGAGATGTGCGCAAAAAGGAGCCGCTTCGCGGGGACAGGAGTTGTGTGAACGGAGTAACAACAAACAATTAGACAGATATTGACGGTAAACTTCATATTTTGGAGCGATCCGGACAGATATATTGTCTCTGCAGTTTAGTAGGCTTTTATTAAGCTTTAATAAAGGATGATGAGAAGGATAAATGTCCACCAGGCAGGTCAGATAGTACGGCTGTTTTTTGAACTGGAAGCAGAGGAAGTGGACAGAGACTCACAGAGTCTGAGGCAAATAGCGAGGATGTTGATGACAATGTGGCAGATCCATCCTTCCTCATAGAAGAGTTGGGTCATGATGAGGTAGAGGATGAAGGCAGAGATGCAGCTCCTCGGAGATCCAACAAGAGGAGTGGGCGGCGCCGCGCAGCTGTCAGATCTCGGCGTGAGACAGAGCCACTCCCCACTCCAAAATGCATGTACATTATTGCCAAATTAATAAAATAAGTATACATTCAGATAGTCCAGGTTGACCCGAAAAAAATGATACCCCATAAGGCAATATTTATTGTTTTTATTAGAAAATACAAAAGAAAAACCTAAATGAGTCAAAAACGGTGATTTACACCCTGGACCCCAGAGGGCTAATAATTTCATTTTTTAATTTGTTATTTGCTATATTTAGTCATATTTTTTATAAATGTACAGTCTAGATTACCATTCTAAATTATAAAAAACATTCGTCATAAATGTTTGTTGGTTTCACAGTAAAATAAACAACCTTTTTACAATTCAGATTTTATGTTTTGGGTGATTTAAGGTCTAATATGCAACCCCTTTATGTCCAAATATAAAAAATAAGTATAAATTCATAAAGTCCAGGTTGTGCTGAAAAGATTGATACCACATAAGGCAGTGGTTATGGTTTTTATTTTGTAAATACAAAGGAAAACTCTAAATTAGTCAAAAACGGCAAATTACACCCCAGAGGGTTAATGATACAAAACAAAAGAAAACATGCAGGGAAAAAAAGACACATTTCAGGCGAACATGTAAAATGTGTTTTGTCTTGTTTTTTTGTTGGGGTATTAATTGTTGAATCTGCTGTCTCTTTGGGTTGCATAATGTTAATTTTTTATTTTTACCTGTCCAGTTGTGGATGCTGTAGCTGTCATGGTAGTGGGGAGTTTCCTGACCCAAGACATCCAGAATCACTCTAGGAGACGGAGGTAAGTAAAAAGAACGTTTTTATTTTGTAAGGGAAATTGAAGGTGCACGGCCAGACATGGCGGTGATGGTAAGCACAGCTTCGGGGCTGGCTCTGCTGAGACAAACAATGGTCACGATAAGGCAGAGTGTGTGTGTGTGTGTGTGTGTGTGGGTGCGCGTGTATGTGTGCGTGTATGTATTTGTGTGTGTGTGCGTGTGTGTGTGTGTGCGTGCGTGTGTGCGCGTGTATGTGTGCATGTATGTATGCGTGTGTGTGTGCGTGTGTGTGTGTGTATGTATGTATGTGTGTGTGTGTGTGTGTGAGGGGAGGAGCTGATGCAAAGTGTGTTTGCCTCCATCTTTACATGTTACAGAGTTTAAGACCAAATCAGTGACAAACTCACTGTAGACTGATCAGAGACAAATGGCTGCTGCAACGATCAGACCTGAGCTTGGGATAGTTTTACTCATCCTGTCTGTTTACTGGACTGGTAAGAAGGAAGCATTAGAATCAATAGAAACTCTTCAGATTACAGCAGCTAATGAAGCATCTGTCTGTAGGTACTGAGGGTCAGACACTGACTGAGTCTGAACCAGTGGTTAAAAGACCTGGAGAACCCCACAGACTCACCTGTACTGGTTCTGGTTTCACATTCAGCAGCTATGGAATGGCCTGGATCAGACAGGCAGCTGGAAAAGGACTGGAGTGGATTGCTATTATCTACAGCAGTGGTAGCGTCTTCTACTCTCAGTCAGTCCAAGGCCGGTTCTCCATCTCCAGAGAGAACAGCAGAAATCAGGTGTATCTGCAGATGAACAGTCTGACCTCTGAGGATTCTGCTGTTTATTATTGTGCTCGAGAGCCACAGAAAAGCAGAAACGCTGAACAAATTCTCCTCAGTGGTTTTTACATGAAGCCACCACAGGAGGCGCCATCACACCGCTGGAACAACACAGTAACAACTGAGGTAAACACAAGGAACCAAACGTTAATGTTGTTAAAGAAGTAAAATCATGAATATAAAGACTACAATAATATTATCTAAAATTATTTTATCACACACTCACAAATCATTCTAATTAACTTTTATTTTTCATGCTGAGAACACACATTTGTCCTCCAAAACCTGCAATAAAGATAGTTGAAAAAGTCCATTTATAGAGAGTTTCTAATTCCAAAGGAAGAACAAATTAGACATTTAAAACAAACCTAAAGAAAAAAGGTAAAAAATGTTGCATTACTTGTAAGGCAGTTAAACATAGGCGTCATTTTAACCGGGGACGCCGGGGACATGTCCCCGGCAAAATTTGTGATTGGCAGCTGTGTCCCCCCCACTTTCAAAAAAGCCTGCTGATGAGGATTTTTGTTTTACCAGCTCAGATCTTATACCAGGGGTCGGCAACCTGTTCCCATCAAAGAGCCTTTATTACCCGTTTCCAACAGTAAAGAAAACACTGGGAGCCACAGCAGCGCAGCGTTGTGGGCGGGGCCTACCCTCAGACAGCAGAGAGCTGCTCACAACAGATGACAGCAGCCGGTACCGGTCGCTCGCATGGGCATCGCACCCGTGGGGGATTCAACACCCATACTTTTCCTTCTGTTTTGCTCACCTCCACACCAGTCTGGTTTCTTTAGGTCGCACTCACTCTGGTTGCCTCATCTCCTTCTTCACCTCCCGCTTCTGACAGCCGATGTCGGGTTTCCAGGAGAGCAGGAGAGAGAGGGACGGAAGAGCTCGACTGAATTCATAATTTACATCTTGACATTAGCTGTACAAAGTCTGAGTTTGATAAAGTGAAGAACAACAATTTGCAGAGGTTTACAACAGGCGCAGCGCCAGGTTTTCATTTTTGGGTGGGCCACGGTAATTCTGGACGGACCTTAATAAGCAGTGAAGCAGGCAGGTCGCGCTAGAAAATTTCATTTAAAAAGACGTCATAAATGTGTTCCTCCGTCATTTTATTTTCTAAAATATGAAGTAAAAACTCCCAATTTAATTTTCATTCATTTGTCATTAATATGTAGTCTACACCCGTGTGTTAAGTGGACCATCTTCCAGTAAAAGCAAAGCATCCAGCCCACCTCTCCAAATGCGTAAAATGTGCAGCAGCCACTAGTTAGGCGCGCCGCGCGCTCCATCAGCTACATCAGCCCAGACAAGAGCAGAGCAAATAGAGAAAGAACAGAGGATAATTGTGTCTGGATGTGGATGGAGATTACATTTCACAGCAGCCTGATCATCATTTAAATATGTAACCCATCACCTGCTAGTCCACGCTATCAGCATTATTTCAATTGGTGTGTGTGTGTGTGTGTGTGTGTGTGTGTGTGTGTGTGTGTGTGTGTGTGTGTGTGTGTGTGTGTGTGTTTTCCACTTCAAACACTTGTCTAACCAACCAGACCAGCGTGTCCAGTAACATATTAATGTTACACTTCATGTAGGCTAGGAACATGTCACCTGCCGTGGCCCGACCGCTTCTGCTCCACATAAACTTTGTGCGTGATCAAATGTCTCTACAGGTGCTTTCTGAGCTGAAGAGCTATTCTGCCTCAGACTGGATGCGTCATGCGTCTCCATATTAGAGACGGGAACAAGCGCTATTTAGCCAAAGTTTCATAATTTCATAAAAAGAACATTTTTCCAGGTGACACATCCCTCAGAGAGATTGGGTTTCCAGACCGCTTGGAAATCTCACCGCATGCACCGTGGTTCTGCACTGCGCTGCGAACCCCTCTACAGATCTTTAGCCCACTGTCCACCGTGGGCGCGCCGAGCCGCGCTGAACACAGTGTCCAGTATAAAGCTCTGATGTTCTGATGGGAATCAAGTTACCTCTGCGATGTGCGTAACGATTAAAATGTCAGCTCATCCATGCACATCGGGGTAATTCTTTCAAAACAACCAACATCCTTGAGTTTATCCGTCAATATGTGGCAAGGCGGAGAAACGAGCATCCAGGTGGGATTCGATCCCCAGACTCCCGGGTGAGAGTCATACGCTCTAACCAGTCAGCCAAAGGGACATCCCCTTGGCCAAGTAGCCAGGGCACATTATCTATCGGGACACTGTGACAGGACACTCACACTGCCACACCTGATTATGAAACTTTGGCTGAATAGCGCTTGTTCCTGTCTCCAATGTGGCGACGCATCCAGGAGCCTGTCTGAGGAGAATCCCAGAATCTGACATCCTCTTCAGCTCAGGAAGCGCCGATATGATTACGCACAAGCGTGACGCGCCAACCCGGTCTCACAGTAAGACCGGGTTGGACCTGTTCAGGTTTACGCAGACAATCTTTACATTTAGAATTGGCATACAGATGTAAAATTAATGCAGTAAAATATAAAGCTTTTTATTTAAATATCCATTCATTATTTTACAAGCACAGAGAGCCGCGTCAGATGGATGGAAGAGCCGCATGCGGCTCCAGAGCCGCCGACACCTACTTTATTGTCCCCAGCAATTTTTAAACCCCACTCAAGTGTATGGTTATTGTCCCCAGCAATTCTGAAAACAAACTGACGCCCTTGGCAGTTACACAAAAACGGTTCAAACTGATAAATGCTGATTTTAAATAATCTATTCCTCTACAGTAATGTTAATCATTTGTTAAAAACAGGAAGGAAAAAAAGATAAAACATCTCATTTTCAGTCTGATTCTGATCCATAAGTCATCTTCCTGTGAGGAGGAGTTCATGTAAAACATCTTCCAGCTCTTATTTATCTAGAGGGACGACAGAAAACAGCAAACGACATTTGAACATGATGGACTGTAGAACAGGACTGCTGCTGCTGCTGGCTGCTGGATCCTGTGAGTGTGACTGAGACACAAACCGTCTGATCAGACTTACTGAGTGTTTACTGTTGTGACTGATTCATGATGTTTTCCTCCTCAGGTGTGAAGTGTGAACAGCTGACTCAGCCAGCCTCTGTGACTGTGCAGTCAGGTCAGCGTCTGACCATCAGCTGTCAGGTCTTTTATGATTTCCGCATATATATATATGCAACATTTTGGATCAGACAGCCTGCAGGAAAAGGACTGGAATGGATCGGGTGGAAATCTATTAGAGACTCTCACTATGAAGAGTCGCTGAAGAACAAGTTCAACATTGATTTAGACCCTTCCAGTAAAACAGTGACTCTGATTGGACAGAACATGCAGCCTGACGACTCTGCTGTGTATTACTGTGCCAGAGAGCCACAGTGGCACAAACATCAGAACAGCTGAACAAAAACCCCTCAGAGTCTGAAGGCAGATGCAATCCATCACCAGAGGAGGAGCTCTCAGACCATTAATGATTCCCAGACCAGTGGACTTTATTATTTAATGGGTTACGCAGCGTTGAAATCTTCATTTTAAACCCACACGCTGAAACACACACGACAAAAGAAATTAAATTCCCAGAATAGCCAACAACCTTTAAGGGTAAATTCTTCAAGAATCCAAGTATTTTGTTGATTGTCCTTCCAGCGGTTCAACAGGTTGAGAGAAATAACTGGAAAACAAAACAAATAAAAAACTTTATGTGTTTTTCATACTACAATAACACTTTTTCATCTGCTGGAAAAATGTGTTTTACTTTTCCTGAATAGTGTCTAATGATATTAATAAAATGCTACATGAATAAAAAAAGCACCAAATGTCAGACTTAAGGGCAGAGGGACTCTTGTTAATGCAAAAATCAAACCCCTGCCTGTGGTGCTCTGGAGTCCTCTGACTTAATTATGTGCTTTACAATCACATTAACCATTTTTATCATAAACAATATGAAAAAGAATCTGAAACATATAATGTTGCTTTTAACACAAATATTTGCATATAAAATTATCACTAAACAGCTCTTTCATGTAAAATGCTGCTGTCATATTCAGATATGTAAATGAATCTCCACCCTGTCTCTTGGTGCTTTAAACATCCTTCAGTTTACTCTCTGAGGCTCAGTCGTCACCATGATGCTCCTGCAGAGTTTCCTTCTTCTGACTCTTTTTTCGGGTGAGTGAAGTTTGTCTCCAGCTGAGAGAATAAAAGGACCTCTCTGATGTCTGCTTTCCTCTAAACCGTGTTCTCCTCCAGCTGCTCGGGGTCAGTCCCTCACCTCCTCAGAGCCAGTGGTCCACAGAGCAGGAGAGCCAGCCTCTCTGTCCTGTCAAGTACAAGGACTTCCTCTCGCCTGGCTGCACTGGATTCGTCAAAAACCAGGAAAAGGACTGGAATGGATCGGTCGCATCGATGGTGGAACTGGAACAATATTTGCATCAAGTGTCCAACACCAGTTCTCAATCACCAAAGATACTTCACAGAATGTTGTGTATCTATCTGTGAAGAGTCTGAAACAGGAAGACTCTGCTGTGTATTATTGTGCTCGAGAGTCACAGTGACACAAGAGGCAACGACTCTGTACAGAAACTGAATAACACTGATCTGAGAGAGGCAGCGGAGAGGCACATGAGTAGAACAAGGTTAATATAATTAGATGATGAGAAAAGATCAATTCAGCAAAACTCACACGTTGCTGCTCATCAGAGGATCTTTTCATTTTGTTAGACGTTTTATTTTGAAATATTGGGAAGATTACAACAGAAACATTAAAATGACCTCATGGGTAGAGAGCCACTATGGAACAATGCCCGATCTTTTCATTCTCAACTGAAGTTTTTATTATCTTTTAAACAAATTATAGATTAGAGTAGAGCACCTGTAATTTTACTTCCATCTCTGTGTCCGTTGGGATTAAAATTACAAAAGCAGTTCTAATAAGTTTTACAGTGCTTGGGTACAGAAAGTATTCAGACCCTGTCTAGTTTTCACTCCTTGTTATGTTGCAGCCATTTACTAAAATCCATGAAATTAATGTTTTCCTCATTAATGTAAACACAACACCCCACATTGACAGAAAAACAGAATGTTAGAAATTTCGGCGGATTTATTAAAAAAGACAAACTGAAACATCACATGGTCCTTAGTATTCAGACCCTTTGCTGTGACACTCATGTATTTAACTCAGGTGCTTTCCATTTCTTCTGATCATCCTTGAGATGGTCCTGCACCTTCACTGGAGACCAGCTGTGTTTGATTATACTGATTGGACTTGATTAGGATGGTCACACACCTGTTTATATAAGACCTTACAGTTTATGATGGATGTCAGAGCAAATGAAAACCATGAGGTCAAAGGAACTGCTAGAAGAGCTCAGGGACAGAATTGTGGCAAGGCACAGATCTGGCCAAGGTTACAAAGTAATCTCTGCTGCACTAAAGGTTCCTAAGAGAACAGCGGCCTCCATAATCCTCAAATGGAAGATTTTTGGAACACCCAGAACCCTTCCTAGAGCAGGCCATCCGGCCAAACCGAGCAACCAGGGAGAAGAGCCTTGATGAGAGAGGTAAAGAAGAACCCAAAGGTCCACCATGGGCTTTATGACAGAGGGAACGATGAATGTGGACAAGTTCAGGGATATCCTGGACAAAAACCTTCTCCAGAGTGTTCAGGTCCTCAGACTGGGCTGAAGGTTTACATTCCAACATGACAATGGCGCTAAGCACACAGCTAAAATAACAAAGGAGTGGCTTCACAGCAACTCTGACTGTCCTTGAATGGCCCAGCCAGAGCCCTGACATATCTGGAGAGACCTCCAAATGGCCGTCCACCAACATTCACCATCCAACCTGACAGAACTGGAGAAGATCTGCAAGGAGGAATGACAGAGGATCCCCAAGTCCAGGTGTAAGAAACTTGTTGCACCTTTACCAAGAAGACTCATGGCTGTTTTAGATCAAAAGGGAGCTTCTACCACATACCGAGCAAAGGGTCTGCACACTTAGGACCCTTCCTGAGGGTCTGTAGGTTCTGGTTCACAGGTGCAACGTTTGGATCACATTACTGAAAACGTGTAAAGCTGATTTACTCTGAAAACTTGTTCTGATTAATGAAACTCTAACTACAGGCTTGCTGATGAAACGAGACATAATTCTTAGAGACATAGAATAGAATAGAAAGTCCATTTATTGTAATCCCAGGTATTCTGACATATGGATCTTTACTAACACAGATTATTCACTAAGGACAGCATGTTCTTCTTCATGGCTTTAGTATCCAAATCTGTCAGTGACGAGGATAACATGTTCTTTGAATTTAAGCATCAGTTCCTGTTTCTATTGGACTAGACCAGCGTTTCCCAAACTTATTTAGCCGTGCACCCCCTTCTATGTCCCGACCATGTCGACACCCCCCCCAGCCCCCACATCAGGGCATGGCTATATATATATATATATATATATATATATATATATATATATATATATATATATATATATATATATATATATTAATGTGCATAATCAAATGTCTATAGGGGAAAAGATGGAAAAGCCATGAGGTTCACTTTTGCCTCAGACCGACTTATTGCTGTTTTATGGTGTGGCTGAATCTGCGATCCGCTGCCACGCGGACTGGAATAACAAATGCTGCAGTAACATGAGTTGTGGTCAGGTTCATGAGGAGTCACTGGCTGGAGCAGATTTGAATTTCATTGCGTCATCCCAAAATAGAAGCTAACATCTTAATTTGACCTTGAATGAAAAATGTTGTTATAAAACCTCTTAAAAGTTTTTATCACAGAGGAGGCAGCGCTCTTTTCTGCCTTCAGTCTGACGGCGCGATGCAGCACCGGAGTTTGCGCAGCGTGCGATTATTGAATCTGTGTGTGTGTTTGTGTGTGTGTGTGTGTATGTGTGTGTGTATGTGTGTGTGTTTGTGTGTGTGAGCCGCTCCAGTCACCGCGTCTCGTTATTGGCGCTATTTAAACCAATGTTGTAAAATTACTTCTGCCCAGCCCAGATGTGCTCACATGTGCACCCGTGAGCCGTGGTTCCGCTGGAACGCGTCTGACCTCTGACAGACGCACTCTGAACTTCAGATCTTCAGCGCGCTGTTAATAGCCTGACACATTTAGAATGTGTGCTAATATAATAATATAATAATGCTAAAATGCTCAGATGGGAATCATTTCTTGATTTATTTTGTTACATCCACAATGTTCTGTGTGTGAGGTTTACAACATCAGAACACCTGCATGAGACAGGGTGTTAATTACAATCTGCCAGAATGACTCACCACCTTCAGATTTCTCCAACATCGTTACTAATGATCAAATACGGAACATGTCTTGCTATTGACAGCGTGCGCAGGCCAGAGCGCTGAAGCTCGGCACATTATTATGAAGCTTGGGCACATGCAGAGAACACACACACACACACACACACACACACACACACAAAATATACTTGTTAACAATTACATTTCTTGGGCCCACATACTTTTTCTTAGGCCCACCCACAAATTAGTTTCTTGCTACGCTAATGGTGACATATGACAGACTTCTCTGAGCTCCGCAGCCATTACACTTTTCACCTCGTGCCCCCCCCCCCCCCCCCCCCCCCATGATAACATGTATTGTTATCATCAGTGTGATTAGGCTACAGCCAGGGATGTAGACCTGTCACGTTTTACAGCTGGTAGGACCCAAAATGCAGAACCCAGGATGACAAGAGACAGGAGATGAAATATAAGAAAATCCTTTATTTTGCAGGCTGAGTCCAAAACAAATATAAATCCAAAGGGGAGAAGCCAGTAATCCAAAATGTCCAAAAAATATAAACTAGAGATAGGAACAAGAGACTGACAGCAAACCACGCTGACAGCAACAACAATGAACCGACACCGTACAGAGACAAGACAGAGCTTATATACACAGGGAGAAGTGATTAGGGAAAATGGCGGCAGGTGTGTGGAGTGAGAGCTGGAGGGAAGACAGGTGAACCTAATAATCAAAATGGGCAAACAGAAACAGAGGAGGGCCAAATAAACTCTAAAACACAAAACTGAACCTAAAGGCTGCAGGAAGGATTAACACACACACACCATCACTCACAACTGGGGACAAAGAGGCTGGAGCTGCAACTTGGGGCACAGAGGATAACTAAATGGACACTGGACCTGAGGGGATGATAAAAAGGTCTACAAACAGAACACACCATATAGAGACGCAGACATGACACATGAGGGCGTTAGAGGACAACAAAAGGAGACACATGAGATGAGACGCCGACACAGACCGTGACAAGACCCAGATACTCTCAGAGCAACTCCAGATCCATCAACAAAATAAATGTAAATAATGCAGGTTTGCTTCAACTATTAAATTAATATGATTATTTAAAATGTTTACCAACAAAAACAAAGATATTTATGTTTTCTTTGTGTTTTGTTAAAACTGAATCTACTTTAAAATATCTATTTTGAGATATTTTACTTAATTAGTTAATAAAAAAACTTAAACAAGACCAATAATTGAAAATATGGTGAGTTTATGAAAATGTAACCAAACTAGGTTGGAAATCCAACATTTTTGCGAGGAGGAGGAGTCGATAAAACTCAGACGTCTTCTACCTCTACTTATATCTGAGTGGAGAGTTGGGCAGAACATCAGAGGACTCACAGTTTGACATGATGGCTCACAGAACCAGGCTGCTGCTGCTTTTAACTTTCTGCTGGGCAGGTGAAGATGATCTCTCACTGATGATGAACTTTCATTCATGACACCAATGAGATATTTTTATTACCAACTGTTTCATCGCTTGCTTGTATTTTTAGCTGTTTCTGGCCAGACTCTGACAGAATCTGAACCAGCGGTTAGAAGACCTGGAGAATCCCACAGACTGACCTGTACAACATCTGGAATCTCCTTTAGCAGCTGCTGGATGGTCTGGATCAGACAGGCTCCTGGGAAAGGTCTAGAGTGGGTCGCTACTGATGCTAACGGTGGTACCAACTACTACTCTGAGTCAGTCCGAGGCAGGTTCACCGTCTCCAGAGACAACAGCAGAGAGCAGCTGTTTCTGCAGATGAACAGTCTGAAGACTGAAGATTCTGCTGTTTATTATTGTGCTCGAGAGACACAGTGACTGAAGTCAGTGGGGCAGCTGGACAAAAACCTGAGTCATTATAGATAATTTACCTTAAAAACATTGTGAATTTTAAATGTTTGCAATTTGGGAAAATAATAAAGAAGCACATTTTCTATAATGAGACTCTTAAAACAGCAGTTTTATGACACTTTAATATATCGTGTTTTATGGTTGTTTCCAACTCAGAATATTTTGAAGTTAATCATAAAAACACTTTCTGAAAGTAAACGTGTTTCATTATTACGAGAAAACTAAATGAATCTAAACAGACATGAGCCCATTTTCACCAAAACAATGAGCTGGTCCCTTCACCAGAGGAGCGTGAGTTTGGTCCGCATAGCCGGTAGTAAGTCGGACCTGTTCCCAGTGAGGGTTGGACTCCGCCAGGGCTGCCCTTTGTCACCGGTTCTGTTCATCACTTTTATGGACAGAATTTCTAGACGCAGCCGTGGTGTGGAGTGTGTCGAGTTTGGTGGCAGGAGAATCTCGTCTCTGCTTTTTGCGGATGATGTGGTCCTCCTAGCTTCATCTAGCTCTGACCTTCAGCTCTTGCTGGGTAGGTTCGCGGCCGAATGTGAAGCGGCTGGGATGAGGATCAGCACCTCCAAATCTGAGACCATGGTTCTCGACCGGAAAAGGGTGGCTTGCCACCTCCGGGTCGGGGGAGAGGTCCTACCTCAAGTGGAGGAGTTTAAGTATCTCGGGGTCTTGTTCACGAGTGAGGGTAGGAGGAATCGGGAGATCGACAGGCGGATTGGTTCGGCGTCTGCAGTGATGCGGACGCTGAGCCGATCTGTCATGGGGAAGAGGGAGCTGAGCCAGAAAGCCAAGCTCTCTATTTACCGGTCGATCTATGTCCCAATCCTTACCTATGGTCATGAGCTTTGGGTAATGACCGAAAGAACGAGATCGCAGATACAAGCGGCCAAAATGAGTTTCCTCCGTAGGGTGGCCGGGCTCAGCCTTAGAGATAGGGTGAGGAGCTCGGACATTCGGCAGGGACTCGGAGTAGAACCGCTGCTCCTCCGGATCGAAAGGAGCCAGTTGAGGTGGTTTGGGCATCTGGTCAGGATGCCTCCTGGACGCCTCCCCGGGGAGGTGTTTCGGGCATGTCCTGCCGGCAGGAGGCCCCCGGGGCGACCCAGGACACGTTGGAGAGGTTACATCTCCAATCTGGTCCGGGAACGCCTTGGGGTCCTGCCGGAGGAGCTGGTGGACAAGGCCGGGGAGAGGACGGCCTGGAGCTCCCTAGTTGGGATGCTGCCCCCGCGACCCGGACCCGGATAAGCGGAGGAAGACGAAGACGAAGACGAAGACAATGAGCTGGTTTCAGCAGCACAAGTCAGGATTTTGCACATCTAATTCTAAAAACACTTCCAACAAGTTCTACACAGATGAATTCAAATGACTCTTCTCTATTGGGTCTTTATGCAAATTCAGTTTTATTCATCAATGTTTGGATTTCAATTGAAATCTGATTTAAAACGATAAGAATCGCTTCTTCTGACACATACATCTTGTTGTTTTTCACGTTGCTGCAGCTGCTGGCAGCTGGATCACTTACATCTATTTATTTATTTATTTGTTTATTTCAGGTTCTCCAGATCTGCTGTGTCGTAAACCCGACATGTGCTCTTTTTCAGGTGTGAACTGTGAACAGCTGACTCAGCCAGCTTTTCAGGTCCAACTCAAAATCCCTCTAGAACAGGATGTGGGAGGAGCTTCTATAAACAAACACTAAGACTGACTTCACATCAGTTCATGTAAAAGTAGAATATGTGGATCTGACTGAGCAGAAGATCAACATGGCCGACAGAGATCTGATCCTCTATCTCAGTGGTTCCCAACCTTTTTCCCAAGGGACCCCGTTTTTTACCAGTAAAATTTTTGGCGACCCCCTCCCATTCTCTCTTCCAGTACAAACAGTATTAAGAAATGATAAAATTGTTCAAGCACACTTTTATATGCTTTGATTCAATAGATAACAGTAATAGTAGGCTCCAGTACAGAACAAAGTCGTGCTTGACAGTTTGTGTTACTTTTCTGAACACATTGTTTCTTGTAAACTCTGATAAATCAATCATTCCTTTCAATAAATGATTGACACATAAAAAATACACTGAGCAAAATGTACTTAAATGTGTATATTACTGTTTATACTAGATTATTTACTGTAAAGGCTGTGATTAATCAACCAGTCCTATCTTTAATGAACTTTTGACACTTGAAATTAAAACGGTGAGCTGAGCAAAATGTTCTTAAAAGTGTGTTATTTTTTCTGTACTAATTATTTCCTGTCTTAATATCAGTAAACTTTTCACTCATGAAAAAAAATGTGAGCAAAATGTAGGCTATAAACAAGTAATAAATGAAGTTTCAACCCCTTAAAGTGGAGAGGTCCTGGCGACCCACTGAGAGGCTTTGGCACCCCCTTGTGGGGGTCGGGCCCCCAGGTTAGGAACCACTGGTCTATCTGGTTGTCTTCAGTGCTGCTGAAGGTTGGAGCATCATAGAGTCTGAACCGGCTGTTATAAACCCTGGAGAGTCTCACAGACTCACCTGCACAACATCTGGATTTGTTTTTAGAGGCTCAGTGTGGGTCTGGATCCGACAGGCTCCTGGTAAAGGACTAGAGTGGATCTCTTTGGTGCACATTTCTAGTCCTCCTATCCATTATTCTGATTCAGTTCGAGGTCGTTTCACTATCTCCAGAGACAACTCCAGCAGTAAAGTCTTCCTACGGATGAACAATGTGAGGACTGAGGACTCAGTGGTTTATTACTGCGCTAGAGAGACACAGTGAGAGACACAAACAGGAGGCGTACTAAATCTACTTCCTGTTTTATACCAAATACAGAACATGTGTTGTTTATTTGCTCAACTATGGAAGATAAAACAATTACATAGTAATGGCATTCTGCCAAATAAAACCCCACAGCCGTTTTATTATTTATGTTATGTTTATTATGTATTTACGAGAAAACCTGTGAAATAAGGGACATTTGTGGCTTAATCATAAGAAAATCCCAAACAAATAAAATTATTAGCCCCTGAAATGATATTAGATTATGAGATCTGAATAAATTCTGAAATCCTTCCGTGTCCCAGACCAGCTTTAACCTGAGATCAGGTCCATCAGTCACCTCATCACGAACATCAGACCTTTTGTTAACTTTTGATTCAGTTTTTATTTCTTCTGTTCATGTTGGATCTCAGCTCCACTCCTGTTTTTATCACAGTCGTCTGTCACCCAACTGGAAACTGTTCTTCATGGTGTCTGAATTATTGTTACTCCTTGTTCTCTATGGATCATCTAAGGTTTTTCTATAGAAACAGATTTTTACTAAAATAACTCATCATGTGGTCGACACCCATCACCGTTCAGACTGTAGCAGATGGTTTTAAATCTGTTTCCACGGTTGAACTTTTCCGCTGAGACCCATCAGATAAACTCTGTTGGGTTTTAGGTTTGATTCAATGCAAACTCAGGCTCCTCCTTTCTGCTATAAAATGTCTCATCAGTTTAGAGTCGAGTTCACAGGATGTTTGTGTCATCAGGCATCATGTTTTCTGCTGCTCTGCTGCTGATCTTAGCAGCTCAAGGTCAGTTTTGGGTTTTCAGATTATTCTATAAACATTTACTGATAGTTTATAATCATAAAATGATTTTTTTTTCCAGGTGTGAAGTGTGAACAGCTGAGTCAGCCAACCTCTGTGACTGTGCAGCCAGGTCAGCGTCTGACCATCAGCTGTCAGGTCTCTTATTCTCTCAGTGACTACTGGACAGCTTGGATCAGACAGCCTGCAGGAAAAGGACTGGAGTGGATCGGGATGAAATATTCTGGAAACTCTTTCTATAAAGATTCGCTGAAGAACAAGTTCAGCATTGATTTAGACTCTTCCAGTAAAACAGTGACTCTGAATGGACAGAACATGCAGCCTGAAGACTCTGCTGTGTATTACTGTGCCAGAGAGCCACAGTGACACAAACATCAGAACAGCTGAACAAAACCCCTCAGAGTCTGAAGGCAGGTGCAATCCATCACCAGAGGAGGAGCTCTCAGACCATTAATGATTCCCAGACCAGTGGACTTTATTATTTAATGGGTTACGCAGCGTTGAAATCTTCATTTTAAACCCACACGCTGAAACACACACGACAAAAGAAATTAAATTCCCAGAATAGCCAACAACCTTTAAGGGTAAATTCTTCAAATATCCAAGTATTTTGTTGATTGTCCTTCCAGCGGTTCAACAGGTTGAGAGAAATAACTGGAAAACAAAACAAATAAAAAACTTTATGAGTTTTTCATACTACAATAACACTTTTTCATCTGCTGGAAAATGTGTTTTTTTTCTGAATAGTGTCTAATTATATTAATAAAATGCTACATGAATAAAAAAAGCACCAAATGTCAGAGTTAAGGGCAGAGGGACTCTTGTTAATGCAAAAATCAAACCCCTGCCTGTGGTGCTCTGGAGTCCTCTGACTTAATTATGTGCTTTACAATCACATTAACCATTTTTATCATAAACAATATGAAGAAGAATCTGAAACATATAATTTTGCTTTCAACACAAATATTTGCATATTAAATTATCACTAAACAGCTCTTTCATGTAAAATGCTGCTGTCATATTCAGATATGTAAATGAATCTCCACCCTGTCTCTTGGTGCTTTAAACATCCTTCAGTTTACTCTCTGAGGCTCAGTCGTCACCATGATGCTCCTGCAGAGTTTCCTTCTTCTGACTCTTTTTTCGGGTGAGTGAAGTTTGTCTCCAGCTGAGAGAATAAAAGGACCTCTCTGATGTCTGCTTTCCTCTAAACTGTGTTCTCCTCCAGCTGCTAGGGGTCAGTCCCTCACCTCCTCAGAGCCAGTGGTCCACAGAGCAGGAGAGGCAGCCTCTCTGTCCTGTCAAGTACAAGGAAATTGAACAATATTTGCATTAAGTGTCCAACACCAGTTCTCAATCACCAGAGACACTTCACAGAATGTTGACCAAACTCACGCTCCTCTGGTAAAGGGACTGAATGGCCCTTAACAGAAAGCCACCCACCCCATACTCCTGGAGCATCCCCCACAGGTTGCCCCTGGGGACACGGTCATAAGCCTTCTCCAAATCCACAAAACACATGTGGATTGGTTGGGCAAACTCCCATGCCCCCTCCATCACCCTTGCAAGGGTATAGAGCTGGTCCACAGTTCCACGGCCAGGATGAAAACCACATTGCTCCTCCTCAATCTGAGATTCAGCTATCAATCAGACCCTCCTCTCCAGTACCTTGGAGTAGACCTTTCCAGGGAGGCTGAGGAGTGTGATCCCCCTATAGTTGGAACACACCCTCAGGTCACCCTTCTTAAAGATGGGGACCACCACCCCGGTCTGCCACTCCACAGGACCTGTCCCCGATGACCACGCAATGTTGCAGAGACGTGTCAACCATGACAGCCCTACAACATCCATAGCCTTGAGATACCCAGGACGAATCTCATCCGCCCCCGGGGCTCTGCCGCTGCGTAGTTGTTTGACTACCTCAGCAACTTCTGCCTCAGAGATTGGACAGTCCATCCCCAGGTCCCCCGGCTCTGGTTTCTCCTCGGAATGCGTGTAGGTGGGATTGAGGAGCTCCTCAAAGTATTCCTTCCACCGTCCGACTATAGCCCCTGTTGACATCAGCAGAACCTCTGGTGTCCACCAGCGGGTACGGGGGTTGCCACCTCGACTGGCACCGGCTACCTTGCGACCACAGCTAGCAACAGCTGCCTCAACAATCGCAGAGTGGAACAAGGCCCACTCGAAGTCAATGTCCCCTGTCATGTTCTGCGGGTGGAGATGGCAGACCATGTGTGGTGGTGGGTTCCAGGAGGCAGAAGATCAGGCAGACGGATGAAAAAATAAAAAGATGTTTAATTGTAGACTGGGAGCAACAGGACGAACGAACATGCATTAACGACAATGAACCGACAAAGACAGCAACAAGGAGGGAGGTATAAATACACAAGGGAATCAGGAACACATGGGCAGAGTAATCAGGGACAGGTGAGAACAATTAGGCTAATCAGGGCAGGAGAGACACAATCAGGGAGGCCGGGGCGGATCATGACATCCCTCACTGTTCTCGGGACGTGGTCAAAGCTCTGCCGGAGGTGGGAGTTGAAGACCGTCTTGACAGGTTCTTCTGCCAGGCGTTCCCAGCAGACCCTCACTATGCGTTTGGGTCTGCCAGGTCTACGCGCCATCCTCCCCTGCCATCTGATCCAACTTGTTGGATAAATTATGGATACATTATTTGATTGTTTTTTAAATGAAAGCTTCATCCTGTTTATTTTCGAAAGCTTCATACGGATTATTTTCCTCTAGCAACAGACAGGCGTTTGACCTTGCCTCTTTCCAGTCCTGGCTTATCAGTAAGAACTTCCTGTGCCCACTGTGCCCGCTGTGCCCACTGTGCCGCGCTTTAGTGTTTTAGTTTGTAAATGTGTGTGTGTTTTACCATTTTGTGTGTCCTTAATAAATACTCTTGGAGGGCTTTGTCTGATGAGAGTGAACTGGCAACCCTTGTGTGGTGTGTATTTGTTTTTTGCTCTCCCTTTGCAGTCTAAATTGTTTGGTTGTTGGTCAATTATTGGTATGGGTTAATGATCAGCTTATGGGTTAATCTATTGGCTTATTAATGTTTATGTTTATGTTTATGTGCTTAGCAGACGCTTTTACCCAAAGCGACTTACACATTTTTTTTTTTTTTACCTATAGGGCATGTTGTGATCTGTGGGGGGAACCGGAGTACCCGGAGAAAACCAACGCATGCATGGGGAGAACACACAACTCCACGCAGAAAGGCCGCAGCCGAGTTTCGAACCTGTGACCTTCGTGTTGCGAGGCAGCAGTGCTAACCACTGCGCCACCATGCAGCCCATGGCCTATGACCCCTGCGTGCTGAACTTTCCCTCAGGTAACCCTGGATGGGAAAATGATAATACCTAACATTTTGGCGCCGTGATACCCATCGTGCAGTTCGGCCGCAGGGGGTCGTCTCTGGGAGCCGCTTCCTGCTTCGGTCTGAGGGACTGGGATTGCTTCCCGGCCGGCTGGATGGCTCCGTGGGACTCCTCTCTGCGGCTGTCTCGCGCGCGTCGGACTTCGGGGTGACTCCGCCGCACGGGGGGATGGGGATTGGATTGGATGAGTGAGTGAGTACCTCTTTTTTGCAGCCTTGCATATATAAAGCTGGTTGGCTTGACAGTGTGTTTTACGTTTGTGTCTGCCTTCCGAACACAGGAGACATCCCGTGTTTTAGCAGGGAGATTGAATCCGGTTCGGGTGAAATAGCGTTGAAAAGTCAAAACCGGGGGCCGCTAACTCGTGTCCTAGGTTCAGCTGCTCTGACCAGTCCGGTTCCCAATGAAAAAGTTGAAATATGCGGAAAGGGTGGTCAGAAATGCCGCTGGAAAGGTTTTAATGAGGTCAGTGTCGCAGGAGACACAGTCCACCCCGCTGTGAGATGTCATTGCGTGTCATAATACGATGGGAACTGCAGACAACTGGTAAATAAGAGATTAAATAAACCAGCGCTTCGTTAAAGCGGCCACAATATCTTTGCACAACCCTGGCTAACCAACCACTGGGTTGGCAACGTTTATAGAAGCTCGTCATGAACTCCAGTAAACACACTGTCACTCTGATACGTTTGGCTTCTCTTGTAATCACATTGTCGTGTGGATTGTTTAACGTTTTCCCAGAGGTGGAAAGACTACTAAAATTTCCTACTTAAGTACGAGTACCAATACTTTGATAATTTTTTACTCAATTACAAGTAAAAGTACTTGCCTAAATTTTTACTTAAATAAAAGTAAAAAGTATCGTAAAGAAAATGTACTCAAAGTAAAAGTTACTTAGTTACATTTTTGTCAGCGTAAGGATGGCTAAATCTAAGTAGTGCTAAATCACAATGCCAGTTCACAATTCGCTCGTTTGTGTGAGCGTACACACACACACACACGCTCAGCTTGAAGGAGGGATTTCTATCCAATCAGTGAGAACAGGACGTTCACATTGATTGGACGAGGTTTTTCTAGGATGGTGTTTCAATTGTGGTTAAAATTATTCTTTATTTTGAGAAAAAAAAAATTTTTAAGATGCCATCAGTATGTGAGGTACAGTATCTCAATGTTTTCATGACAAAACTCTAACATGAGACTGTGCTCTAACCTGGCACATAATATAACAAGCCTAATGCAGTCAAACATTTCAGATGGACCGTATGACAGCTGCCCTACTTTACCTCTACATTACAGTTCCTTTATTCGTGTCCATCCTAGAGCTCCTCTCTGACCTTCATGCTTATTTAGAGCAGCTGATTTTTAAAGTTAGCAGAGTTCATCCTTGGTGGTGGGTTCACTCACTCATTTAACCCTTCACCACTGAAATCAGTTTGTTCATTCCAGTCCTCCTAAATAATCCTCCAATCATCCAACTAAAATCCTTAAGGGTCCCGTAACGTCCATCCTGTCAGAACAGGCCTTGGGAGCCCAGGTGTTACTAGAACTAATGGTGTCTCCTCACCAGCGTGAGCCTCCAAACTGTGAAGGTTGGACTCCAAACATGAACTTTAATTTTATGCATTTATCTCCTCTTGTAACACTTTAACACGTTTTAAAAGGCTAGTATCATGATAAGTTACACCTCCCAGACCAAAGATAAGATAAAACATTATCATAAACACTGCAGAGACGTCATTATGTATGAAATATGTTATTTTCCTGAGCCATTACTTCAGCCAAGAAATAAGATGCATGGATTTGATGAAACCATGCTGTCTCATGCAGTCCTATATGTGTAACACACACACACACACACACACACACACACACACACACACACACACACACACACACACACTGCAGCATGTTAGAATCCTTTGAATGACTAATTTAACTACACTGAACTGCTTTAGTAATAATTTAATCTCTTATTCTGGA